CCAGCTTGCAGGACTGGCCTAGGGGAAATTTTTAATGGGGGTTTTAAAGTAATTTTAAATTAATCAGACCAATTATTAATATTTGTTTTTAACTATGTTTTAATCTGTAGTTTTGGGATTGCATTTTTATCTGGTTGTTAGCCGCCCTGAGTCCGCAAGGAGAAGGGCGGGATATAAATATGAACAATAAATAAATAAAATAAATAAATGTCCTTTTTCATGGATGGCCACCAAAATTGCCAGACCCAGCAGCAATAAACAAAAGGTTACATTGTAGCAAATAGAGGAAGTGAAAGTCATAATCCCGTAGGCATATCCCCCTCCCCCTTGGAAGTATGGCAGAATCCAGGGGAAGGTGAGATTTGATTTTATATCAGAGGAGATAGATAGAAATGAAATATAAATGGGTTCTGACACTATCTGTCTGTCTGTCTGTCTGTCTGTCTGTCTGTCTGTCTATCTATCTATCTATCTATCTATCTATCTATCTATCTATCTATCTATCTATCTATCTATCTATCTATCTATCTATCTATCTATCTTCTATCTATCTCTTTGGTGGTTGTTTGAGAGTCCACCAGAATCCCAGAACTGGTCTTAGAATTTGGAAGGGGAAGAAGACATCTCAAAAGAGGATCAAAGCAACTATCTCCATATTGGTGCCCAGAAAACCTCTAGTTGGACCTTCACTGGGTCATCATGGTCCAAAAAGTCACCATGAGTCAAGGTCAGTTTTGATGACTAGGCCTCGGTTCACCTCAGAGTGCTACAACTGGGTTGAAGAGGACACCGTAAAACATCTTCATCTTCTTCGTGTGCTTTGCTGATGGAGCAGTCATGCATGAAAATAATCCAGCTGTGGTTTGCTTTCCAGAAATACCCAGTGAGATATGGTGCTGGCAGCTGTCCAAACAATAACGGCCCGGCTATTCCTGTTGTTTTTGATGCTGGGGATGCCCAGAAGACTTCAGAATTGTACTCTCCCAATGGACGGGGTAAGCATGAGTTGGAAGGGATCTTGTAGGTCATCTAGTCTAGTCCAACCCCCCACCCCGCTCCAGCAGGAGACCCTAAAACACCATTTCTGACAGATGGCAGTCCAGTCTCTTCTTGAAAACTTCCAGTGATGAAGCTCCCACAACCTCTGAAGGCAACTTCTGTTCCATTGGTTGATTGTTCTCACGGTTAGAGGGCTGCCCCACGATGTAGTTCCTCAGCTGGGACTTCATCTGTTGAAGTTAAGATCAAGGAGGAAGGCAAACGAAGGGCTCCTGCCCAAAATTGGTGCCGCAGTTAAGATGGTTTAGAAAGCAGATTGCAAAAGTTAGGCTAACGATGTGTCTTGGGAGGCATTTTGTATGCCCCAAAATCCAGTCTCCAGCTGCTAGGATATAGTAATAGGAATGGGAAGAGTCTGGCACAGTGCAAATGTGGCCATTTTTAGGTGGGTGCACTTCAGCTCCCAGAATTCCCCAGCCTGCTTGCTTCAAGATGAGCAGACTTCAGCTCCCAGAATTCCCCAGCCAGCATGCTTTAAGATGGGTGGACTTCAGCTCAATAACATGCTGTGGGGAATGCTAGGAATTGAAGTCCCAGATTGTCGATTGTCCTCAACCAAGATTGTGAAAATAATTAAAATGCTCCCAACCGCATTTAGTATTTCTCTTCTGTTTCTCAGGTGAATTTGTCTCTGGTTTTATCCAATTCCGGGTGTTTAATAACGAACAGGCAGCAATGGCTCTCTGCTCTGGCGTTAAACTCACTCGGTGCAATGCAGAACATGTGAGTATCCAGGCCTTCCCTTCAGACACTGCCGCAAACGGTCATAAACGCCACCTCAGCATAGAAGCTGAATAATAAAACTAAATAAATATATGCATACTAGTCGTCCAACCAGCCAAATGAAATCATGTGATCGCAGGGGCGAGAGGGGGTAGACAGCCGTCAAAACTTTGAATCCAGGTCCTAAGTATCTTTTTTTTGGGAGGGTAACTTTGAGGAGTTGCTAAGCAGCCGGTTGTAAGTAGAGGCCTACCTATACATCCCCTTGAACTGTGCTTTTCATTCCTCGGATTCAGTTTTGCCTTTGCTGGAGGGATTTTGGTGTGTGGTTATGTGTGCACACGCATTTGTGTGCTATAGTTTTGTATCCCACCATCCATGTACACAGCACACTATGGAATTCTATTGGCATTTTAGAACATAGGGCAGAATCCTAGGGCTGGAAGGGACCTTTGAAGTCTTCTGGTCCAACCCCCTGCACAAGCAGGATACCTTATAAAGGTAGTCCTCGACTTATATACCATTCATTTACTGACCATCCAAAGTTACAACGGCACTGAAAACAGTGAGTTATGATCATTTTTCACACTTACGACCATTGCCGCATCCTCCAGGGTCACATGATCAAAATTCAGAGGCTTGGCCACTAACTCGTATTTATGATGGTTGCAGTGTCCCGGGGTCACATGGCCCCCTTTGGCGACCTTCTGACATGCAAAGTCTATGGGGAAATCCAGATTCATTTAACAACCATGTTACTAACTTCACAGCTGCCGTGATTCATTTATCAACTGTTTCAAGAGAGGTCATAAAATGGGGGCAAAACTCACTTAACAAATTTCTCGCTTAGCAACAGAAATTTGGGGTTCAGTTGGGATCATAACTCAAGGACGCTCATGTGGCCACATGGGTGAGGAATGGACATCTTTCCAAACTTAAAATCCATGTCTTAAGTATCTTTTGGAGAGCCTGTGGTAACTTTGAACAGTTGCTAAGCGATCAGTCATAAATTGAGGACTATCTGTACATCCTTTTGGGCTGTTCTTTTCATTCCTAGAATTCAGGTTCGCCTTTGATAGATTTGTGTATGTGTGTGTGTTATAGTTTTGCATGCTTTCATCCAGGCACACAGCATACTGTGGCATTTTAGGACACAGAACATTGAATCCTAGGGCTGAGGGACCTTGGAGGTCTTCTAGTCCAAGCCTTTTCACCCATTGTATCACTTTTAGGATATGGCAATATCCGAGTACCACCAGTCACCTAGCAAAGTGTCAAAAACCTGATGACCCTTCCCAAAAGGAAAAAAGTGATGAAGTACAGGTAGTCCTCGACTTACAACAGTTCGCTTAGTGACTGTTCGAAGTTACAATGGCACTGAAAAAGTGCCCCCCAAGCCACAGCTGAGCAAGACACCTGCCTGCCCGCCCGGTGGCGCTCTTCCTCCTGTCCGAGGTTTTCATTGTTGTGAGCATTTCTGTTGAGGATTGGCAGTGGGGTGGGGTGGGTTGGTTTTTATTCCCCTCGTCTGCTGGGTGGTTGCAGCAGGTTTTGGTCACTTCACATGACCCTGGGACACTGTGACTGTCATAAATATGAATCAGTCGCCAAGCATCTGAATGTAAATCACAAGACCCTGGAGATGCTGCAACATTCCAGCTGATCGGCGCTTCATCTGGGCTCAGCAGAAGCACCAGGATCAGCACTGAGCTCCAGCTGGAGCCTGGCACTGATCCTGGCACTTCCGCTGAGCCCTGACAGCCCTGCAGCTCCAGCCATCTCTCGCTCAGGCTTGTGCGGTGCTGCCACCGGTTCAGCTCATTCCCCTCCCCTGCTACCACTTTTCTAGGATGGTCGCGTACCACCTGCCAGGTGCCAATGAACCACAGGTGGTACCCGTACCACTGGTTGAAAAGGCCTGTTCTAGTCCAACCCTCTGCTCAAGCAGGAGACCCTACACAAATTCCAGACAAATAGCTGTCCAATTTCTTCTTAAAAGCCTCCAGTGATGGGGCACCCACAACTTCTGGAGGGAACCCCTTCCACTGCCTAGTTGTTTTCACTGTCAGGAAATTCCTCTTTAGTTTAAGTTGGTTCTCTCTCCCAGTATATAAGATGTTTAACTCCCTTTTTCCGTCCTTAGCACTGCATCGGAGGAGGGGGCTTTTTCCCAGAAGCAAACCCCCGTCAATGTGGTGATTTTACAGGCTTTGACTGGGACGGCTACGGGGTTCACCGTGGATGGAGCGCTTCCAAAACCATGGTGGATGCCGCCGTGTTGATCTTCTACCGCTGAGCAGCTGAATCAGAAGCCCGAGATAGAGGCGCCTCTCCCGGAGCAAGAGAAATTTATGATTACAGCACACCATATGACAGTGCTGTGCAACAAAAATAAAAGCAGCAGATTAAAGCTTGTTTTGTCTTTCTTTTTTCACAAAAATCTTTTGCATTAGAGTTCACAAATGTGGAGATAAGAAAATAATACAAAGTAAGAAAAAAAAATAGAAAAAGAAAAAAAAA